GATGGCCTCCAACCTAGTAGTGATTGCCTCCAACCTAGTAGTGATTGCCTCCAACCTAATCAATGGCGATGGGTACTTTGGGAACATGGAGAGCATCACACTGGTCATGTGGGGACCCGATAGTTTTGACCAACCCTCGCATATGAAGTTTATTGAAGCCTGTAAGTTCAGAGATCTCAAGGACTCAAAACGATTCGTTTCTCAGAAGTTGGAATTGGAAGGTCCGGATCCAGAATAGGTTTTGACGCTTTGACTTATTTGAGCAAGACTCGTAGGGTTGAGCATTGGTTATATAAACATTGACACCGAAAAAAACAGAACGCCACCTCCCAAGAGAGATTTGTCTAGCAGTGCACTAGGGCAAAGCCACCTAAACGGAGAGGAAGAAAGCGTCCAAGAGGCTCCAGGGATTTTAGGTCTAAACCGAAAGCTACTAGGAACAAGTGCATCGCTTCTAGTAACAAGTGCCTTACTAGTAGTAACAAGGACGCTTCTAATTTAATTCTAATTTAATTTAATGCTAATTTGTTACTACTAGCGTGGCACTTGTTACTAGTCCTGGCGAACTCGGAACGGCGAATGGTGCTCGTCGGCCCCGAGAGGTGCTCGACGTGGTCGCATCGCGCAGTGAATGGCCTTTGCGGCCCGGAATGCTTAGCAAGAAATTCATGCATGATGCTGAGCAACGAGGACACGACTAGACGAGTCTGCAAGTGGATACGAAAGATCGCTGGTAACAAGAAGCTACTAGGAGCAAAGGGCATTGCAAAGGGCATCGGCATCGCTACTAGGAGCAAGGACGCTACAAGTAGCTTCTGGCCATTTCTGGCCTTACTACTAGTAACAAGAAGCTACTAGTAACAAGGGCATCGCTACTAATAAGAAGGGCATTACTACTAGTAGCAAGAAGCTACTAGGTTGGAGGCCATTGCTACGTAACAAGAAGCTATTAGGGTGGAGGCTCTCCCCATGACACTCGTTGGTTCACGACAGTTGTGCCATCCCTCCTTGGGTGGTCCTCTTGCCCTGCTGTGCCCAAAGGGCACCCATTTAAGAGATTTTGTAGCTCCGGGAATGGAGGCAATCTTGTTACTAGTAGCGCCCTTGTTCCTAGTAGCGATGCAAGGTGCTCCTAGTAGTAAGGCCAGGAGCCCCTAGTAGCGAACCTTGTTACTAGGGAATGCAGGCAATCTCCTTTGCAGATCTTGGCTCAATGATTTTGGTGCACATCTAAGACAAATTATACACAGCCAAGAGCGTCCGTATTCCTTTTTTTTATGTTTAAGACACCGCACCCATCTCTTTTCTGAAACACGTCCCCACCATTCGACATCCCCTTTTGAGATTGGCACCCATTCTGGGGGACGGATGCAGAGGGTCTTTTGAGCATCCGAATCCTGTTCGATTCACGTGTCCTCTGGGTAGTTGTCTGGTCTGGTCGTATGATGTCCGATGGTCTGCCCATCCATCTACCCTAAAACCCTCTCTTTCCTCTCAGTACCTCTGCACCCTATCATATGAAGAGATTAGTCTTCGGATGCGGTCCAAAACGTAACTAGATCTTGAGGTTGGGAGGGGCTTTCTAACTACTAGATAACAATTACTTTTTGGCGTTCCTTCTGACAGGCCATCCGCGCTGCTCCCCCAAAGTATCGGCATCTACCTCTCCAGCTCTTTGTCAAGGCACCATAATTTTTTTTTGAAGCACTGTGCCTCATCCTCAAGCAAGACCAAGAAAGGCCCTCGAAATTCAAGGCGAAGCAGAACCGACATGTGATTGTCGACCCTCTCTCCCGGAGCTGAGCTGAGTTTATTACAAACCGTTGGAGAGTCAGCCGACGATTTGGACATGAAGCTATCATGGGGGGGGCCAGATGCTTGAAGCGTTGGAATGTCGGCTGATGGGTTTTGCGATCTCCTGGATCCGTCCAGGTTCCGTGGACAGAGGAGGGTGCTTCTTTGTTATGTTTGTTCGGACTGGCGGACAAACGCCAAACTTTAAAGAGGTGGCCAAACATGGCAGAGCTTGGAAGACCAAGCATGGATATGGGTGATTTATACATATATTATATAATACATACATATATATATATATATTATATATATATATGTGGATGATATATGAGGATATATGGTGGATGTTCCTTCGCCGTCCACCGTCCACACCTCTTAGCTCTCGTCACAGCAGAACGGGCCGCCGAAGGCGCCCCCACTCTGCGGAGGTCCGGCGGCAGTCGATCCGCCGAATCCCAGCGGCTTCGGGTGGAATCCAACGTAGTCTGCCCAGAGGTCGGCGAGGGATCTCGTGGGACGAGCTCACGAGCCCTCGGTTACTACGTGGATGCGACAGATGTCGAGATGTCGATTGGAGATGAAGATGTTCTAGACAGGAGGTTTTGTTTCGGGTCGGTTTGGTTCTCATGATCGTTGGTAAAGATTCAAGATCCAGCGAGTTGTTTTCATTGGCCTCAAGGTCTTTTCTTTTCGTCCTGACC